CAGTTAAATGAAGTTAAAAGAAGGCATGGATTTTTCCCCCTGCCACAATAGAATAGAATGGCTTTCCTCCTCACCAATAGCTTTATTTCAGCTTGAATTTTTCCCAGGACAAAGATGTAAATGTCTAAAAGAGATAGCATAGAAAATCAGTGAAAACTGTGTTCACCCATATCATGGCAAACCCTGAGATGAACAGCATTCATATGAGGCTATTTCCTTTTTCTTTTTTTTCTTTTTTTTTTGTTTTTGGGTCACACCCGGCAGTGCACAGGTGTTACTCCTGGCTCAAGCACACAGGAATTACTCCTGGCGGTGCTCAGGGGACCATATGGGATGCTGGGAATCAAACCTGGGTCAGCTGCGTGCAAGGCAAACACCCTATCCACTGTGCTATTGCTCTAGCCCCCGTGAGGCTATTTCTTAAACAGAAAAACAAAACAATGAATCTCTAATTGGGAATGACTGAAGGGTCAGAACCCCCCAGGGATCCCTTTATTTCTGGACTATAAATGCTAATACCTATTGACTTTCAAGCTCTTAGAACAGTTCAGCACCCCAACCCCCCACCTAAACTTTTAGGTTGACAGCAACTGGTAGGACCTTCAAACTACTAAGTCCATGGCATTCCCCAGGGCTTACAGCATGAGTAGAAAGTATCTAGAGACTAGGAGCCAATTCCTGGATGGTGTTCTGGGGCATTGCAGAGTCTCCAGTTACAAGGCAGACTACATAAATCACTGATAGAAAGCACATCCATGAGGCTGATATTTGGGGAATCAACTTTCATGGATTTAAGTTCAATCTGAAAATGCCTCCAACTTTGGGTGTTAAAAGCTTTTCAGACTGAGTGAGTCTTGGGCTAAGCAGAATCTTTTAAAAATTTCTTCCTTCTACTAGCCTTGTAATTTATAAAGCTGTCTTAAGGTTCATGCAAGGAAAAAGTGGGCAGGGTAAGAGTTGGGTTTCACGTGGTCAAAGTTAATGGCTAAGTACAATAAGGAAAAGGGGAGAAGGATAAAGGAAAGTCTGAGGAGAGTTCTGCAAGGGTGCAAGAGGGGAATTCTGAAAGCTCTTGCAGACAGAATAGGAATGACTTGCTTTATTAAAAGGTAGTCAAGAAGGTAATTGTCTTCCATAGAGGCAGGAAGTGGGGTGTGGCAGGGTTGGTGGGAGGGATACTGGGGACATTGGTGGTGGAAAATGTACACTGGTGGAGGGATGGGTGTTTGATCATTGTAATACTGAAACTCAATCATGAAAACTTTACAACTGTATCCCATGGTGAGTCAATAAAATAATAAAAAATAAAAAGTCATAAAACAAATAAAAAGTTGCACCCATAAAAAAGGTAGTCAAGAAGTTCTGGAGGTCCCAAAATGATTTGCCTAAGAATAAGGCTGGTCAGGTCATGGTCAACTTTGGAATTTACTGGAGAGAAAATCCTGACAGGAGTAGCAAATGCTCATTCTTTATTATATTCCACCAAAAGTAGTGGAGGACTTAAATTTAAGATTCAAGGGAATTTTGTCCTATTCACAGTAGTCCTATGGTGACCTTATATCTACAGTGTACATTTATTTCACTTGGAAGTGGGTTTAGAATCAGAAAGCAACCAAATAAGACAACGAAACAGGGAAACCCCACAACGCCACAAAGGATAAAAATGGGAGCGGGATCTGGACAATAGGGCACTGGCCTTGCACACAGCTGACTCAGACTCAGTTTCCAGCACCCTGCCCCATCCCCCTGTGGTCCCTCAAGCCCAACAGAAGTAATCCCTTACCACAGAGCCAGTAATCCCTGTGCCACAGAGCACAGCTGGGTGTGGTCCAAAATACCAAACAACAACAACAACAAACTAAACAAAGGGGGAGCAGGTGGGGAGAACTGTAACTGCATGTCCTAAATGATAGAAATTGTAAAAGACCCAGTAGGAAATGGCAGGGTCAGGATTTTCTAAAGAGTGAATACTCATCTGCCATACTCATTGCGATGTTTTAAAACATTTCTAGAGTACCTGTAAGTACTAGCAATAAGTACTGAGAATGACAAGGTGACAAAGTCTTATCATGGAGGAGCGTGGTTCATGGGAAAAATCTTATAAACAATTATGGAATAGCAGGGCCATGGATTTTGGGGAGTGAGGTAGCCTAGGCCACTGCAAAGAATGCTTATAAGCACAGGAATAAGTCTCTTTGCTGACAAAAGATGTGGCTTGGAGCAACTGCACTGCTAGTCTTCCATTCATATGAAGTTTAAGGTTGAAAAGGGCCACAGCTGAGCTCTCAAAGGATTCAGGATACAGCTGCTAAATCTAACTACAGTTCTTTTGGCACTAACTAGGCTGGATTCTGCTTGTCGGCCAAAGGCTGCCAAATCCTGATTTAAGACATTGCCTTTCCAAAGAAAAATAGCTATAATGAAAATAGCGTATGTCTTACATAAACTCTTAGCAATATAACAAACACATTACATTTAAGTCAGGGCCATGGTATTTTGTTACATACGGATTGTCCTGCTGACTTAAAACATTTCTGGCTGTCTTTTATCTTGTTTCCATGAACTTTGTAATTTTTAATAACACGTATTTGACTCTACCCAGTGATTAGAAATTTATCTAAAAGAACCTTCAACATTTCGATCATTTTTCCTTTGCCCTTATGATCTTTTGTTTTGGAGGCCATGTTCAAAGCTGTTCTCAGGGTTTTCTCCTGGCTCTGCAGCCAGGGGCCACTTCTGGCAGTGTTCAGGGGACCAAATGGGTGCCAGGGATCAGGGATGGAACTTGGGTCATCCCTCTGCGAGACAAGCGCCCTGCCCTCTGTATTATTCCTCCAGCCTAGCCCTAATGATTTTAGCCATAACTTTACTGTCCCCTTGTTTCATCAACAAATGCGAATGATACAGTTCAAAGCACCAGATAGTAGTAAGGTGAAATTAGTTAGAATATGTGAAAGCAGGAGCCTATTAAAGAAACTGTTTTCACTTTAAATTGAAATCGTATAGCCTTGGATCTTGACCAAAAGCTGCTATATCCTGACAGTGTAAAGATAAAACAGTTTTCCCAGGATAAGAATAATATGAAGAGGCGAGGGTAGAGAAAGAGATAATAATGACCCAGCTGTGACAGACCACCTGCTGATTTCCAACACAGACTTGACTCATCAGGGTAGTATGCTTAAATCTTGTCTGGGGCCACACTGGCAGAGCTGTCTTTGGGGTCCATGTGGAGATGGAATAGAATCTCAGCTTTGCATGCAACGCATATACACCAGTTCTTTGACCCATCTCCCTAGCTATGTCCTTTAGTCTTACCCTACTCCAGTCTTTCATCCTTTGCCATGCATTTGATTAAAACTATTGGCCTTAGTGGATGAAAGGATACTATTTCTCTGGTTACAAAACTGGGAGAAGGCCTTCACTGCAGAAATGGGCTTTTACAATCAAGGAAAGCGTTCAGTGAAACATCTACAAGATGTCCAGGACTCGACAAAATACCAGTCATTGATGCTAGGTAATAAGGTATTTTCTATATGCTATGTCACAAATATATAAACCTGCCCATTTTTACAACATTAAGGAAAAGCACAGTTGACATATGTTTGGACAGAGAGAACCATTCAACTTCAAAGAAAAAATAGGAGCTGCGGGTTTAAAATCCATTGTTACTAATCCATTCAGTTCAACAACTTAAAATATTGAATTAGGCAGTAAAATGACTGGCAAAACCATTCACTGGATCAAAGTATTAACATAATTGTGTGGAATTTCCTTAATTCATTTGGCATTTCAATTTTAATTATAGTGCTTAACACTGCCTGAAATCTTTTATACACAGATAATTCCCAGCCAACCAATTTGTCGTTGGGCCACTTTTTCCATATGGGCCAAATCATGTACCTATATTTCCTTTTTTACTATATCATTTTTCATTTCTTTGAAAACTACCCAAATTAAATTTTATAATTTATGATATATTCCCATGTGTTCCCACATAGGCAAGAATGATGATTAAGGAAACACGATTGTTTAACTTCTGCTTTAAATGTGTACTGCAATATACATTATTTTGATTAAAAAAAAGTAACTCCTTTCACTTACGAGATTTAAAAGTGAGCAAATCTAGAACTAATACACAAAAAAATCAAGAAACCAACCTCAGTAATACATGTCTATTTTATTTTATTAAAAAAGTTACAAACAGGTGGACTGCAGGGTTGTTTTACAAAATGACAAGAATGAAATCTACTGGAAAAATTTCACTTTTACAAATCTTTATAGGTCATTGTTCAGTGTTTGTACTTGTTATTTGAGATTTTTACCTTTCATTGACAAAGTTACAGTACATTAGATCCAAGATAATAGGTTTATTTGCAGAGCCCTACTGCAGTGATTTGAACAACTCCTAAACAGATGCCATAGTAAAGATGAGACATATATTGCATTTAATATTAATTTATTTTCCTAATAAGCAACTTGACATGCAATCTATTGAGGAAGCTAAAATAACTTTTGGTCCCTTTTCTTAAAATGTGCTGGAGAAACCACCTATAAATCACTTTCCCCTGATTCCTGTGATCCTAAGTGAATTCAAGTTAAATTTGTTGCTGAGGTCTATGACACTCATGTGTGCTGGGGCAGGTGGTGGGGTAAAAACAGGGAGAAAGGGGTAGGGGTGGGGAGAGAAAGAATAAGAGCCATCCATCAGAAAGAAACACTGTATAAAAAACCTGCAGAAACTGTAAATCATCTCTTTGATTCCTTTAGAATTTCACATATCTAATAAAGTTGAACCACAATCACTTAGCCTATTTTGAAGTGTGCTATGCTTTAAATTTGGTCATAAAGTGAAAATTCAAATTGGGTATTCATTTCAAGCTATTTAGATATGAGGAACAACGTTTCAATTATCTCCACCCTTACATCATATCATAAAATTCAAAATCTAAGATCAAGGGTTCACTTTGAGGGAATCTGATCAGGAATCAAATGCAACACGATTTAAAAAAAGGAAATCAAAGTTTAATCAATTTCTACGCAATAATTAATGGCCATGCTGACCAATAAATCACATGTATGTAGATATCACTTTATTTGAACATCACACACAATATAAATTTAAAATTGCCACACCCTTCCATAAACCATCACTGCATATATTAGAGCTTTCCTTGACAAAGTTATTGAGCTATTATAGATCAAAAGTATAGTTTTGGTTTCTGTTTTATTTTTGTTTTATTTAGAAGCATGTTCAAATAACTAAAGCTGGGCTCCTAAAATCGAGAACTTTGGTGCAGTAGGTAAGCTGCAGTGACTAACTCCTGCAAATTAAAGCACACAACTAAAACCAAATAAAGACTTAACAATGAAATACTGTCAAACTTATAAAATGTTTAAATCATTGCTAGAAAAAGCGCTGTTGTCATGATGTTAAAATTGAACCAAAAGATTACTCTTCGTAAGTGTCCTTTCTGTTTCTATACCTGCGTTACTGTTAAAATGTTCAAGTATTCAGACAAAATGTGCTGATTAGGTAAACATGGAAGGCAATGACTATTAGAAGCACATTTGCGAAAAAAAAATAATAAAAATAAAAATAAAAAGCCCAGAGACTTGGCGTTCTCCTTCTTCCTGTTACACAGATTTTGTCTCTACTACGAACATGCTTCTTGAGAAAGAACTAAAAAGCAATAGTGATAGTGCAAGAAAACTTTAACAAATATCACTTAAAACTATTATTTGATAGACAAATATTAAGAACTCGAAAGTGTATATGATTTTATTAGAATTCAATTTTACATGTGCAGAAGTCTACTAGATGTCAATTACAAGCCTGACAGGCAAAGCTGAGCAATTTCTGTTTAGGTATACAATTAATTTACCATGGATACAATATCCCTTTTCAAAGGCATTGCTAAGTAGGTCATAACTAAATTTAGAACTTCACAGAAAGGAAAATATTACTGCTGCAATTCTATGCTGTAAATGAGATTAACACATGTGAAAACCTAATGGACTCAAATGCTTAACTCTTCAGCTAAATGCTCTACAGTCAATTTCAAATATCAGTTGTAACTTTCAAAACATGTTAATTACAAAAACACATCAGGAACTGCAAGTGAAGAAAAGGGATATTCCATCCATACAGGTCACATGTGATCTTTAGTTTCTTTTTACAACACTGCCACACGTAAACAAAGTCTCAAAGTATTAACCAACCACTTAAAGGAGAAAGATTTTACAAATAGAATGAAGCACTGGTGCGAGGTAATATACAGAAGTAACCATTTGTTTAAGGCTCAATTTTTTCTCCATTATAACTTTCTTTTAAAAGGCATTGAGTAGGTAATACTGAGTTTGAGTATTTAATAAATACAAGTTGAGAAACTGATTAAAGAAATCAATTAAAATATTAAAACTTAATTCTTGCATATTAGCCATCATTAAGAACTTAGAAAGCTACAAAAGGACTGATTGATAAAGAACAGATTTTAAACATATGGTAAACGTGCTAAGCATTACTGTTTAAGGTCGATGGATCTTGAAGGCCAAAGACCTATGCACTTAATTAGATGTATGGCAACATGCTGTAATAGAGACAGGTTTACCAAGGCTCAGTTCTGCAACCCAGGTTGTAAAGTTCTCCAAAGCAGCATCTGTGCAAATTTCCTCTGAGTTTTATCTGCAATTAAGATTTGAAAAAGTCATAAAAGGTAGTTCTAGAAAAGCCATAAAAAGGTAATTTAAACAAATTGAATGAAAACAGTGACAACAGATCTACAAACACATGGAAACGGTATCAGGATAACCATCATTTCTGTCTCCCATAATTTTAAGTAATTTTCAGAGGTCCAACAAGTCCATATAACAATTACAGACACAGAAATAATTCACTGCATATAACAGACTATAACTACTTTGCTTTTATTTGGTTTGGTTTGTGCTTAGGGGCTATTCCTGCTATGTGCCTGCTGGTCACTTCTGGTGCCTGGGGGGTTAATGCAGTACTCAGGATTAAGAACAGGAGTTGGCTAATGGAAGCCATGAGTCATAACTATTTTTTCCAAAAAACAACCTTAAGCTACATATTTGCATTATAAACTATATTAAAATGCTCTCAAAAACGGCTAAAGACATAGCTCAAAGGGCTAAAGTGCATGTTTTGCATATGTGGTAGCACTGAGTTTGATCCCTGGACCACACAGTCCTCACTACACCAGGCTCTCTGGGGACATGCCAAAGCACTGCTGGTTGATGCTTTCCATCTCTGCAAATGTTTACTTTAAAAGACCTGCCAGTATAAAAAGTGGCAAGTGTTAACTTCTACTTTGTAGCTGTCCTCTTCATATCTTAATGGGAAATAGTAACACTGTAGCACTGTCCTCCCTTGTTCATCATTTCCTGGAGCAGGCACCAGTAACATCTCCGTTGTGAGACTTATTGTTACTGTTTTTGGCATATGAATATGCCACGAGGAGCTTGTCAGGCTCTGCTGCGTGCAGGATACTCTTGGTAGCTTGCCGGGTCCTCCCGAGAGGGACGGAGGAATCGAACCCGGGTTGGCTGTGTGCAAGGCACACACGCCCTACCCGCTGTGCTTATGGGAAATAGTATTAGAATTAAATGCTTATTAAATGAGCTAACTTGACAGTATATAAATGCTTGCAATTTTTTATTTTTTTTTGAGAATTAAGAAAATCAGAATGATTTTTAGTCAGGGATGAGATTTTAAGCACCAACTACATATCCTAACCTGGGTTAGGTACCAGGTAACATCGGAGAGTTCACATTTCCCATTCTCATCTGCCCTGTGTGGGCCATCCTCCTAAATGGACCTTCTCCTATGGTCTCTGTTAATACAGTCACCCATACCCCCACCACAGTATGAACTAAAACCGTGGGATCTGTCATTTAGCACAGTGTCCATTAACCATCTTGGGATCATCAAACAGTTTCTAGGGGAGTGTAATTAAGATGATTTTTTTAATGTAAAAGATAAAAGTCATTAAATCAAGCGAGACGCAAAAAGAATAGCAACAAAGATGGCCAAGTAAAACCAATTTAAGATCAATGGGCTCTACCAATGTTTATACATGCACAACTTCAATTTCATTGACAATAACAATATGCGTGTTCAGAGTCTGAGAGTTTAATAGTAGCCATGGCATTAAAATGAGTACTTTAAAACAACACCTCCTTGCTCATTATTATTGAAATTCTGCTCCCTAAAGACACTGGGAAATGAAGTTTGCCACTTTTAAAATTATCACAGAAACATTTTTCTTTCAATTAAAATAAAATCTTGTTTGCATTTAAAGGAAATTGCTAATTAGGCCACAGGCTGTTTCAACTTAAGCAAGTCCAGTTTCCTCATAATTAAAACAGGGACAAAATTCTTTCTTCACAGGGCTGCTATAAATAAATCATAAGGCTATATGTGAAAGTATCATGTAATGTATACAAATGCCAGGTACTTTGTTCATTTCTCAACTACATCATAAATTTCTCAAAGACTAGGATTATGTATGTCTTTGATAGTCTAAAGGCTTCATTAGAATTTCATACCTATTTGAGCACAACAGTATTTCATTATAGATTCAATTCACTATGAACACTTTTCCAGTAATTCAGACTAGACTTCCCTCAATTAGTTTGAATTAATTTTGCTGTAAATTTTAAGACAAAATTAAAAATAAACAATTATAAAGACTTTGGGATTTTCAAACATGATTACGTCTCAAATAGTGAAGACGTATAATATGTGATGATTTAATAGTTGAAGCATTCTGAACTCAAATTGAGGAAGTATTTATTTGTGGCCAAAACAAACACCAAGAATACAACAAATCAGCATATTTACCAGAGTCTACATTAAACAAGGAGTGATATATGCATTATTTAGTTCCCACCCTCTAAAAACCTGGTTAACATTTATTCTACCCCATTCTGCAGATGACAATATAGCAGTGAAATCAAGAGACACAGATAAATTCCGGGTCAGGCTCAACAATATTAATATGAGACAGACCATTAAACCAACAGAGTATTAATACCAGCTACTTTTCAAGGGAGTAATAAATTACAATTCTCTGCAGTAATAAATCCTGAAGCAAAGCTTACATTAAGCAAAAAGGACATTCTCTCTGATTACAATTTCACAGAATGTGCAATGTAAATATTATCGCCACACACTGTGACAGCAAAATTTTCAGTGGCCGAACAATCCTCGTTTAAAGAAAAAATTCCAGCATCTTAAAGGCAGCAGTCAAACTTTTAAACTCGCAGGATAGAGACCCGTTACACATTTGCTGCATGTGAGACAGAATGCAAAGGGGCTTCTTGTCCTCACTCTCAAATTTCCAGCAAAAGACACATCTGAACTCTGGAAGCTTTTGCTCAAGCTCCTGCTTAACTGGTTTCACTTTTTGAAATCAGATTTTATTCCAAGATGCTATTTGAAAACAAAACAAAAAACCACAACAGTACAAACCGAAATTATGGAATTGGATCTCCCCCAAGTGGGCTATATTCATACACAAGAAAGAGTCCCCAATACAGAAGTCAGAGAACAAAGATCATTATTTATGTCAGTCTGAAGAAAAAGGGGGATTCTTGATTCAAGACTAGCACATCATTTCACATGGCAGCAGAATGCCCGTCCCGTTAACAAAGGCTCCTGAAAGGCTTGAGCAGTTTATGAATGCCTTTTTAGCTTAGTTGGATTTGCCATTTCGAAATACATGGTATTTACTAGCATTCTTTTCAGCAAATATAAATGTGCAATCATAATTTTATTTCCCCCCAGTGTTAAAGACATACGATATTCTGGGGAGTACAGCCGATGGAATTTCTTTTAAAAAAATGAATTTGACTTTCCAGTTTTTATTTGGCATTTTCTTCTTTTTCAAAATCCATTCCCTTTCCTGCTCCCCTTTTGTGATGCTCTTGTCCTGGTCCTGCTAACCAAGGGATCACACACAGAATATCCTTGATTGTAACACTCACTGGGCGTTACACATTTGGTTACACTTTAGACCATAGTGCTTGCCACAAGGCTCTGCACTAGTTTCCCCCTTGTGATGCTTTGCACATGTGCACAGGAGGGGTTGCACGCTAGCCGTGACATTCACACACGTTTGCTCTAGGGTCACACTCCAGGCTGTGTTGCTTGCAGTTTGGATGGTGGCGCTCACTGGCTAGTTTGTGGTGGTCATACACTTTAGGTGGGTTGCACCAGAGAGCAACTAGATGTCCAAAACTATTCAGCCACTAGGACCACGCTGGGGACATCTTGGGCCACACAGTGGATCAAATATGCAGTCACACGCTTGCAAGGCAGGACCCTTTTTTCTTTGTCACCAATCCAACCTCAGGTCTCTTATCTGACACTTTCTTATCCAAGTTAGGAATCTTGTTTCTCCACTAACATTTACATAATAATCATTTAGCATACTGGGGTTCATGTGAAAGGTCTGTAGATCATCAAAAACATTACCCATGCGGCCTGAGGCATAGTACTGTGCTGAAGGTGTTGGCCTTGCATGCAGCAGACCCTTCCTTGGATTCCTGGCATTACATATAGTCCCCCACGCACTGCTGGGAGTGACTCCAGAGCAGAGTCAAGAGTAGCCCCTGAACACCTCTGGGTATGAACCACAAGTTTCCCTCCAAAATATAAAAGGATTCATCTGTCATCCATTAAATATAGAACTCACAAAAAGCTTGATCTATAGAATCCTTGACTGGAAGTGGAACCTTGCCTTCAGAAGAAAATGTGCCCTCAAAGTTTATGGGCACCCCGGGGAAAGCAGTAAACCATTTTTCTTATGTCCTCGAACTAATACCTCTGTAAATGTAATGAGTTCAATGATGAGATTTCAAATAGTAAGACCAGGTCCATCCACATATAAACAGCAGTAATGTGAGCTGCCAACTCTGAATCTTAAAGACCCGGTAGCCTGCTGTTTCCTCTTCAATCTCGACTTGTCTTTCTCCCCCCTAAATTCTAATGATTTCTGAGACTGGCTAAGCTCAGAAATTCTGGAGTGTGTTTTTTGGTAGGATAAATACTTTGCCAGCAGCTGACCCAACTTGAGTTTTTCTTAGTGGAATTTATCTTCTGAATTTTACAATGCCTCTGAGAAGTAATCCCATGAAGAGAATCGTTTCTAGAGAATGGCTAGAATACTTCCTGAGTGGCACTTCTCCAACTCCATGATGCAATTTTGGTTAATTCTACTGATGGTGTGCCCTAAACTAGAGAGGTAATGGGGTAAAACTGAATGGCTCGCATGCATTTCGTTGTGCAAAGAAGCCCAATCATGAGGTTAAAAGTAAACAACTGGAGAGGGAACTGAGCCACAAAGTCACTCTCACCGGACACCTCCCCACCCAGAGAAGGTCTTTTTAGGCACTCAGCCACACTGAACAGTCCTAAACTCTTGGGGGTGGCGGGTGATAGGGAAGAATTCTTTCTGGGAGAAATCAGGATGGCAGAAAGGGGAAAGCAATTCAGTTCTCCCCTTCTGTCCCTGGTTCTCTGCAGATCTTTAGGGTACTATCCCAAAGCAAGTTTCCCATTTCATTTTGGACTGGTATGCTGAAGGCTCCATTCTCATCCAACATGTGCAATAGGTGGCAAGTGACTATTTTTAGAAAGTGGGCTAGAGTGACAATATAGCATGTAGAACGTTAGCCTTGCACATGGCTGACACAGGGTTTGACCTGCCAGGAGTGATCCTGACCACAGGACCGGGAGTAAACCCTGATCACAATTGGGTGTGCCCAAAATAAAAAAAAAAGCTCACTTCCCTTCTCCCTGTGATATGCAAAATAAAGCGGGGTGGGGGGGTGGGGGGGTGGGGGGGGTGGAAGGAAGTTTCTATCTAAACCAACTCCTGCAACAGAATTCCACCCCAGAGTTGTACTGATATGATTAATATTTAACTTGAAATGCCAACATTTTGTAGTGCAGACTTCACTGTCACACTTTCCCCTTACATTTCCTAAATCCCTGCCATATCATATCTAATTAAAAGCTGGGGAAAAGATTAGAGAGCATTCTGATTTCCCCTATTTCAAAACAACACCACAGCAACACAAAACCCTGAAAACGAGAATAAGTTCCAGTGTGCTTAAGAAACAGTTAAGGCCAGCTAGACTAAAATGACATTCATAAATGGTTCAGGCTCTCAGGGGCCTTTGTTAATGTGCCGGGCAGTCTGCTGCCACGTGAAACGATGTGCTAGTCTTGAATCAAGAATCTCCCTTTTTCTTCAGGCTGACATATATAATGAACTGGGGCTGACATAAATAATGATCTTTGTTCTTGCAGTTTGATTTCTGGTGTTTGGTACTCGCATGCACCATTTACTCTTGTTGGGAGAACTCATTCCATAATACACTGAAAAACACAAGAACAAATCTTGCAGGAACCCTTCAAACCAGAGTTAAAAAAATACCTTTAAAGAAACTCCTATTTTTTTTAATTTTGGCAATATTACAGTGAGATACAGAAAGTCTTGCAAAAAACATCTTCAACATATTTTATTTGCTGAAAGGCTATTGACCGCACTATCACATTTTAAGGGGTTACGTTACTGTGTTTCCCAGCATTCCTTTCTGGGAATCAACAGAATATTTTAGGCTATGATTTTTGCTCAGCTTTTTATAATTTGCTATTTAAAAATTGCCCCTGCCCTTCCCGGTACCCCTCAAATCTTCTCTATTCTTTGAAGGCATGAATCAAATGCTAGTGATTCTCCAAATCTTTTCACGTCTGATTCTTGAAGGTTTTGCCCTCCAAGAGTCATTAACAATACCTGCAGATGTTTTTTCCTGTGCTGAAACTGCAATCTGTGTGTATGTGTGTGTGTGTGTGTGTGTGTGTGTGTGTGTGAGAGAGAGAGAGAGAGAGAGTGAATGCTATTGGCATACAGCAGGTAAAGGTTAGGGATGCTACTAAATATTCTACAAACAGGACAGTCCCTTTACCAGAGAGCCCAGAATATTGAGAAATCTACAGCACCGTGATTCACTTATTTTATACTACTCTGATATTAACGGAACACCCAGCCACCTCAACGACACTAACCGCTGTAGCAATACACTTTGATGTAGTTAAGAGAACTTAAAACAGGACTGCCACGATGACCCCGGCTCCTAGCAGCCCGCTGCAGCAGCCCAGTGAAAAAAAGTCCTTCAAAGCACTTGATAGCAGGCTCTTCACGTCAAAAAGGAAACGGGCCAGGAAAGCAGCAACATCCAAGAACCTTGCCTGGCTTCCCAACTTCCACTAAGATTATGACAGTGGGAGGGCGAAAGGTGAGGAAACAATCCTGGGAGCTATGCAGATAAACAGGTGTTGGGCAAGAGGCTGGTGACCCAAATTGAAGGGTGGTAAAGAAATAAATGTGAGGAATTAATGAGAAGCAATTCTTCGAGCATTAACACATTTTCCCTTTCAATTAAGAGCAACCAGTTTACGGCAAGCACGGTTCCTCTGGCTTATGTGAAGTTTAGTAATTCCACTCTGGGCAAGGCATGCTTCTAACTTACAAAGGAAAAAAAAAAACATTCCTCAAGTCACCTTTACTTGTCAAAGTATGCCTCTCAGTCAAGACCTGGGACTGACAGCCTTGAGAACCCAATGACTCCAGGATTTTGACTCTAGAGCCTGTTTTTCTTAGATAAATGGGGAACCAGGGCAGCCACAAACTTTATGGGCCTCAGATTACAAACTTCCGCACATATCACCTCAATCGCATTTGATGTCAGAAAAATTCATACAGTGCGTTCTGTTCTAAAAGACCTTGGTCAGACAATTCCTCGAATATTTGCAGAAAGTTCAGCTGATCACACATTTTATTTCAAGGCTCATACCTTCAGTTGTATATTCCGCTTACAAAAACGAAAATTAAACCAAAAACAATACAGAAAACTTGAACCATTAATATAAAATACGAGCATTTGTGTTCATATTTTCTGAATTTCAGTATTGTTTAACAAACATTAAAATGTAAACGTAGCCTGAAAAAGAGGGATGGAAAACTATGAAAGCATTCAAATGGGTTAGGTAAACAAATGGATTCAAAGTAACTTAAGTCCCCAAAGCTGCAAAATAAAACAAACTCAGAAATACAACAAGATAGGTTTTCAAACAGCTTTTAGAAATTACCCATTTGCCAATCGAACTGAGACAGCTGGATTCCCTATAGGAGGCTCATTTAATTCAGTTTATTTGCTATGGCTATCACTGTTAACAAGGGGAACAAATAAGGAACGTTTTGTGGGAGCTGGTTAATTTTGTATAAAGGTGAAAAATCCGAAACATGTATAACTTGTCATTTGCCTAGTGAAAAGTAGTAATGAAAAAGAGAGAAATAAGAGCATAATCATGGAGACTCAGTCACCACACAGAACTTGTTCAAACTTGAAGCTGGCCTACAATTTAAGAAAGGAGATTATGAAAACAAGCACATGGGACCAGAACACCACTCCAGGCTGGCTAATGCTTCCAAGACGGTACAGCACGGGCAACACTCTCAACCAAACGCACGCTGGACTACAAGTTCTAGACAGGGACTTTTTCGAAGAACACAGTTAAGGAACAGAAATGAATTTTTGATATGCTCAAAAGCTGAATGAAAGGATTTGGGATAAAGCCCCACCGTCTTCCTTCATTTTCAAAGATGATACTACCTGACAAGAGATCTTGTCTAAAAAGACAAATTTGGGACCATTAGGTGTTTTTTTTTCCTCCAGGGGGTATACCCAGAGCTAGACCTCTGGTATATTTTCTGACCTCTGATTAGGAACCCACTGCAATCTGCAATGCCTGTTGCCATTTTGCAGCATGGTCTCCTGGACTGGAGGTCAGTCTGAGCTCAAAACAATTAAGTTCCATCCCTGATATCGTCAGGTCAGCCTGGCATCTGCTGTGGTTTCTTAGCCACGCAGGATATTGGGCATTGTTTAATCTTCTCATCTAAATGTCACCATCTAAGTGAGACTATCTGCCCACTTACAATCTAGATGAAAAGATGGCGACGTGAATAAAATCATGTCACTTTAAATGCTCAGCAACTTCAGAGAGGCCGACTTCTCAAACACAACCATTCATGGAAAAAAAATCCAAACTTTTTATTAAGTTATCCTTCCACTCAAAGGATTGAAGGCTTTGTTAGTGCACTTATTAACTTCATTGCTTCCTGGGTTGGGGATTTGTCCCTTCTCCCTCAGGCAGATATTTACCAGATTTTCATTTGCACCATATATTCATAAGGAAGTCAAGGAAGTATATTGAGGACCATAATGTGTTATTATCAGAGGTCACTAAAGTCCCTCAAGTGCAAAGTACAGATGAACTTGATTAAATAATCATCCCGTTAAATCAAGCAGTTGGGTGATTAGTAAACTGATGATTTCAATTATAAGGCTTATTATCACGAGCTAGAAAAGCATTATTATTTTTTTAAAAAAACCTAAGCTTCTGAAATTATTGAATATTCATCTAAGCATTTCAGATACTAAATTACCAAACTGGGGGAAAACCATTGTCCTTTAATTCAGCTGTTTCTCAACCAGGGGCCTGTATGGCCCTACTTAAATCCCCAGGATAGTTCAAGGCAGCCAGGGGTGAAAAATCATGTAAATAGGAGGTAACTGATAGGACAAGATAGGATGTACAGGGAGAAAATAAGATCGAAAAGGAGCCACAGTGGACAAAAATGTTCAGAAACACTGCTTCAACTCACCCTACCTCAAAGGAATGCTATCCATCAAGGTTAGAGAGAAGAATGGCACACTATTTTTAAAAGTGTTTTATCTTTGGTGATGGTAATACAGGCAATTTCGTAACTTTGTTTTGCTTATCTTTATTTTTTAAAAATTCCTCCCAACCCCCGCACGTTGGCATTTGCACTATGGAAAACGTCATTTCTTTTTTTTTTTTGAAAAAAAATTAAAGGTAGTGAAATGTGTATTAACACTGACCAGAGTTTGTGTCCATTTAGTCAAAAACAAAACATTGTCTGGCTCATCAGTTTCTCTTAACAACTAACCTGCTCGGTATGGCCATGATTGAGGTTATCTTTTTTTACTGGACAACGCAAGTTGTACAACACTGATCTTGCTTCTCGGGCAGGGATGAATAGTTCATTTGCCTGACGATCTCAGCAAAAAGTTCATCCACCATTGATTTACTTTTTGCTGATGTCTCCATGAAAGGACAGCCCCATTCTTGAGCCAGGGCTCTGCCCTCTGAAGACATAACCTCTCGTTCTGGTTCCAGATCCACTTTATTTCCCACCAGGATTAGCGGGACCTTTTCATATCTCTTCACTCTGACAATCTGATCTCTCATTGGCTTGATATCCTATTTACACAATCACAAAGAGAAAGAAAAACAAATTATACTATTTACATAACCATACAGAAGCATTGTAATATCACAAGTCATCACTCTGAATACAGCCAGTGAATCTAAAATTAAATCACACCCCCAAATATAGTCTTTTTTTTTCTCTGAAATACGAACTTGGTAAATTCCACAGGCTGTGCCTGTCAAGTTTCCATCAAGAATATAAAATGTAAGTTGCACACAAATGCAGGGCTCGTTTAATAACGTCTTTCACTTTAATAACGTCTTTCCTCCATTCTATCCTGACTTAAGCAGCAAATTTGTTCGATCCATTGTGACAGGAGTGTGTCTGACCACTTTCTCAAACCTGCCTCTTGTCATCACTCCTTGGAACATCTGTTATCCTTGCCTAGGTTGCATTCCTAGCCAGTTAGCATGAATGCTTAAGAGAAAGTGTTTCTGGTGGGAACAAAAACAATGTGTTATACCTCAAAGACCCGAGTTAAAAACATTCATAAGTTTGAAAGTTTCATTCACTGTAAACCGTAAGGTTATGCCTTCAATCCCAGTAAAATCAAAGACTTTTTAAAATACACTAGAAAACGAAAGAGTGAACTTCTGCAGGGAAGGAGGAATTTGAGCTGGAAGAAGTTAAGACTTTCTTGGCTGATGTTGGAGTTTTACAACTTAAGCCCCCCTCTCCACCCCGCCCCCATACACAGGTCTGTCCTATTTACAAAAGAACTTTAGCAGTTCATCAACTTTGGGAGGGGGAAGATAACGTTTTTTGTCATAACTGAAAAGTTTTGACTTAAAAGGTGCTTGACTTTAGAGTAAGAATAAATAATATTCACATGAAGGATAAAAGAAAACCAGGAGACTGCAAGTTGAGAAAAAAAATAGTTATTTGCTATTTGTGACAATTTTATCTGATCATGTAGCAATTCAGTTAAGCTGTTTCCCCGCCCCCCCCCCCCCACTTATGTCATGCAAACAGAACTTCAGCTAAGAATTCAAATTTAGGGCAGTTGGGTTAAGAGTTGAAGTCACTGAAATGGAGACTTTTCACTTATTTTCTACTCCTTATTTTATGTCTCTAACAGAAGTAGATGTAATGAAAAATTTCGGAAAAACTCTAAAACTTGCAGGCTCTCCTAAGGAAGCTTTAGAAAGAAATGCCTGTCAAATAGCACCTTTAGGTACTTTGGTAGTTGTGAGAGTGAGGATGTTTTCCCAATATACCATAAATTTAGAATAAAAGCTTATTTAAAGTGAATTTTAATTTGGTCACATTATCTCTGATTAATTTACCTCGTATTTACTATTTCTAGAAGAAAAACTGCCTAAAGTTGCTCAATCAGGTTACTGGAAAAGTTCACTATAGTACTTTAATTTAAAATATTAAAAAAAGTGGAATTAGCACGTTGTACTGGCTGAAGCACTTAATGTCTCTTAAGTAAACAACATTAAGTGCATTCTTTTTAAATGCAGAAAAATATATCCATTTCCTAAATCAATGTAGGTCAATATAATCGGTCAATATGAGGTTATTTATTTTCAAGGAATAAATAGCAACATTTATTGCAGCTCTTAAAATAATGTTAAACCTTCCGTCTGAGTACCAGGGAAGGAGTAGACAGATTTTCTCAAGAAACTGCACCATCTCAGTTCTGGCTACCCAGTCAGGGTTAAAAAATCTGCACTTGTTCCATGTTCCCAGATCCACAGAATTTCATCAGTGTCATGGGGAACAATTTGGATCAGCTGCAGAAAAGAAGAGTTCTTGTCAATTGATTTTTTGTTGCTTATTAATTCTAAGTACCAGTCTTTTCAATTCGTTAATTTTTTTTTTCTTCACAGGTCCCACATTAGTAAAATGCCTAGAAGGCAAGTCCGGAGTTCTTCATCTCTCAGCACTAAGATTTATGTGCATCTGGTTGAGAAACTTGGGTGAGAACAGGGAGGGGCGGGGGGAAAGAAAAGGGCAATGAGGAGTTGTCTGTACACCCAATGATCAGCTCCAAATAATTTTTCTCGCAAAAGTAATCGACTGACCCGGGCTTATCTGTTCAATAATGTGTTGTAGCATGCATTCATCAATACTTATGGAACCGAACCAGCCACCTTAGAGGGTTCGAGTTCAGGCTAAACAGACCCAGATGAGCCCACTGCATTTTCACTTTTCCTCCGACCGAAAAATGACTTCGAACTCTGTGTAGCCGGTGGTTCCTTCCCCACTCGCTAGAGAAACAGCCCTGGGACTTTTTTCCCTGCCAGGAGTAACCTCAAAAATGCGCCATGTCGAACTTTCAAAAAAACAAAACAAAACAAAAAAAACCTCAGAGTCATTAACGCCCGGTTTCCAGCAAACCAGAAGTCAACGGAGCCCATTTATACCACACCCCCCTGCGAAACAAACCACCCGACCCGGGGCGCCTTTCGGCTTACCTGAAAAGACTGTTGATTAACCAGACTGTACACCAGGATGAACCCTTGGCCGTTTTTGATGTACAGATCTCGCATGGACGCGAACTGCTCCGTGCCGGCGGTGTCCAGGATCTCCAGCACGGACGGGGATGAGTCCACTTCGATCTCTTTGCGGTAGAAATCTTCAATGGTCGGGTCATATTTCTCAATGAAAGTCCCGGTGACGAACTGCACGGTCAGGGCCGATTTGCCAACCCCTCCGCTCCCTAACACCACTACCTTGTATTCCCTCATTGAGTCTCCCCTTGTCGCCGACTCCTAGCCCAGGGTTGGGGGGGGTGGGGGGCGGTGGAAGAAAGAGCACCCGCGCGCAGCGGCAGCAGCGGCGGCGGCTCGGCCGGGCGGAAGGTGGGCGGAAATCTGCGAGTGGGGAGGAGAGTGCGGAGCAGCCGCCGGCCCGACGGGGGAAGAAGAGGAAGTTAAAGGAGGGGGAGGGGACAGCGCGAAGTGTCGGGGTGGGTGGGGAAGGGATGGTGATGCCCTTCCTATAGGAATGGCAGCCCAGGCAGGGGGCGTGGGGAGGCGGGCTAGCCCGGAGCGGCCCAACGGGGGGGGGGTGGTGGGAGGGGGTGGATGGGGGGGGGAGAGACGCCACGGGCCGACCTCGCCCCCCCTCCGAGGGAAGGAGCGCGGGAGGGGGGAGGGGGATGCCGCGGAAGGCGGGGGGCCCGCGAGGAGGGCGGCCGGCCGGCCGAGGAGCCCGCGGCCCGGGGCGGCCCGGCACCCCTCCCCCCCGCCTCTGCAACACAAAGGGGCCCGGGGACCCCCGCTTCCTGCTGGCGCTGTCGAGCTGGCCCGGGCCTGCGGGCTCCGCGCTCAAGTCACCGCCGCCCCCGGGGCGGGTCTCTGGGCCGCGGCTGCCGCGGGCGTTGTCCGGCCTGTAGACGGGGAGGAGGGGGGGGAGGGCGAGAGAGGGGAGGGGAGAATGGGGTCCACGTTACCCGCCGGCCTCTCTCTCCCCGCACCCCAACCTCCGCCCCGCCCCGCCCCGGCCGCCTTCCCCATCCCCCCTCCCCGCCTCTCGTCCCATTTCTCCACCCCCCCCACCCCCAGCCCGCGATCGCTGCAGTTTCCACCCGGGCCCGGCGGCCCCTCGCCGGCACCACCGCCGCCGCCGCTTACCCTGCCGATCGCACCCGCCCGGCCGCCTCTGTCACGCCAAGGCCATGGCCAGCGGCCGGCTCGTCGGTGTCACCGCTGCCCCAGCACCGCTGTTTGCACGGGGTGTGGGGGGGAATGGGAAGGGGCGGGGGCCGTCCGGCGGTGGCGGCAGCGGCAGCGGCGGCAGGAACTCCTTGGCGAGCTCACCGCGTTTTTTTTTTTGGTTTTTTTTTTTAATAAATTCTCACCCACCCCCCACCCCCCCAGCACCGCACACCCGGAAGGGTTTCCCTGACACACTGGCTGAGGTGCCCCAGTTCCCCGAGACTGGACGCGATCACTTCCGGTGGGGAAAGTCCCACCTCTCCGGGACGAGCCGGTGGCGCTGGGGCCGCGCCCTGCTGAGCGAGCCACTCGGGGAGACGCTCGGGTTTCGGGGCTCTGGCCTGGGCCGACGGGCCCTCCGAGCACCTCAAGCGTCTAGCCTTGACCCTCCCGCCCGCGGCCGCGGTGGCCCATACTGCCGGCGTTTAGGCCGATGCCACCCCCCCCAAACCTACCAAAGCCCTGGCGCTTCCCGGTCGCCCCCCCCCACACACACACACACCCCAGCCCGGCCGGCCGACTTGGTCCGATCAATCGATCGGTGGGTGGTACGGGAATGCCAGAAATAACCGAACGACCGGAGAACGTGCCAAACATTCCTGGGCTGGAAGTGACAGTGAAAATAAAACGGCTGAGAAAGTTGGGTTTCTGCACTAGTATTTCAGCCGCTTGCTCTTTTATTTATTTATTTTTTGCTTTTTTTCTTTCTCCCTCCTCTCTCTCTTTTTTGTGCCCCCTAAGAAACACGTGCAAACTACCCTGGGACTTCACGATCGCTCTGAGTTTGTATGCACTGCGTTAGCCGTGCCGGACACATACACACAAACTTCTTTTGTCATCGGGCCAAATCTGCCCGGAGATCGCCGGCCAAAGCCCAAGACGTTGCTTTCTTAGCAGCACGCGAGCAAAACAACAGGATTAGAAATAGACTAGAAACTACCTCGGCTTTCTGATACTCTTATCTGATGTCAGATATTCTAACCCTGTTTGAGGCCAACCGTCACACAGCACAAAAGGTCCCCCAATAATACCCAGGGAACTTGATTGGAAACTATTTCGAGCCGCGGGCTGCTTTCTTTGTATTGTTTACCCGCAAAACAGTTTGCATGGCTGTCTTTTTACCGCTTAAAAGTTTGTTTTAACAGCCATCCTCCGGAGCCCTTGAAATTCAAAAGCCAGTGACTCCAGCCTTTAAACATTTTCTATTTTTAGATCAAATGGCTACTTCTTACATATCTTTTCTTCTGCTAATTTTCTATTTGTAAACTTTATGTCAGATCCACAGGGGCCCAAGGCCAGAAGGGCTGGCTTACCGGCAGTCGGGCACCCCCTGCTGATTTTAGGCATGTCGCTTCCATTTTGATTCAAAGCATGCACCTAGAAACCTGACAGACTCACTAGCCAGCCTCCTCAGCTCCACTCTAAATTACCTTCATTGCAAGCCCCTAATGACCAAACAGTGTAACAAAGATTGATGACCAGACCCAAATTGTTCGGTGGTAAGAAAAAGGAAAATCGCTTTGTGTGAAGGCCCAGTGTGTTGTTCCCTGAGCCTTCCCCAATGTCACTTACAGTAGCCAAAGAACAGTTCAGTTCAGTTTCTGCTCAGCCCGGGACTGGTGTAATCGGTCCAGTGAAGTCCTAGGCTCTGGCTCGAGCTGGCCAGAGTCCGGCGTGATATCTGAGGCTCTGCCCTCTGCTGGCAGAGATTTGGTCTATGAGTTATGTGTCTCTCCGTAGGTCACTGTTCTTTCCACACGTGCTGTTGCCTGATTTGGAGCTCTGCTGTTCATCTCTCTGTCTAGCTGTCTCCAGACTGGTGGAACCCACAGCCTGTACCCAGCCCTGCTTGCCGCTGAATCTGGAAATTCCTCTTCTCATCCAGCAATCGGGGTTGAGCAATCGGAGCAAGTCTCTGCTCTGTTACTAAACTGAAAAAACAGGAAGCTCTTCTTTTTGAGGTCTTCCCACCTGTTGGCAGTACTATTATCTCTGGATGTGCTGGCCAAAGTGTTTTGGAGAGAGTTCTTGGTTTCTATAGACAGTGAAGTAGATGCCTCCTCTCAGTATAGATCCTATTAGGTCACACTCATCGACTCCAGGGTCATCAAACGTCACCCTCTCCCTACACACACACACACACACACACACACACACACACACACACACACACACACTCACACACCTGAAATCATTCTACACCTTCTTAGGTAGGAGATTCATTACAGCAGCCTTTCAGAAAGCCATGGAAGGGCTAGAGCTATAGCACAGCCGATAAGGCACTTGCCTTACAAGCAACTGGCTTAGGTTCCATCCTCAGAGCCGCATGTATTTTTTGGAGCCCCGTCAGATGTGATCCCTGCCACAGATCCCAGGAGTAAGCCCTGAGTATGGCTGGGTGTGGCCCCAAAACAAAAGCAAAAAAAGCAAGATTGATTGGAAGTAACATTTATGCCCTTCAATAGACACTGGAACTTTCACGGCTGCAAGTTTTACAAACATTACGATATGATGCTAAACCCCCAAATCCCATAATATTGTAAGCTAATAAGAACCCAATGAAAACAAAAAGTGTAAGAGTAATATGAAATGACTGTCATTTCCCATAGCATTTTAGTTGTGTTTTTTAGAGGGGGCACACCCGGCTCTGTTCAGGACTTACTTCTGGCTCTGTGCTCAGAAATCACACCTAGAGGTGTTTGGGGAGACCATATTGAGTACTGGAGATTGAATCAGAGTTGGGCACAGGCCAGTCAATTGCGTTACTCACTGTACTATCTCTCCAGCTCACATTTGATTTATTTTTTTAATGGGCTGGAGCGATAACACAGTGGTAGGGCGTTTGCCTTACAAGCGGCCAACATGGCCGACCCAAGTTCGATTCCTCCGCCCCTCTCGGAGAGCCCGGCAAGCTACCGAGAGTATCTTGCCCGCATGGCAGAGCCTGGCAAGCTCCCCGTGACGTATTCGATATGCCAGACACAGTAACAACAAGTCTCCAATGGAGACGTTACTGGGCCCGCTCAAGCAAATCGATGAACAATGGGAGGGCCTTTACCTTTATTTTATTTTTATATTTTTTACAGACTAACTTTTTTTTTTAGTGAAACACCATGAGGTACAGTTATAGACTTACAAATTTTTGTGCTTGGGTTTCAGTTACACAATGATCAAGTACCCATCCCTCCACCGGAGCCCATCCTCCACCACCACGGGTCCCAGCATCCCTCCTACCCCCCGTCCCCCCATCCCACCCTGCCTCTGAGGCAGGACATTCCCCCTTGTTCTCTCTCTCTTCTTTTGGGTCCTGTGTTTTGCAAGAGAGGCATTGAGTGGCAGTCATGTTTGGTCTATAGTCTACTTTCAGCATGCTTCTCCCACCCTGGGAGGATCCTCACAACACCCTTTATTTGGTGCTCTCTTCTCTATCTGTCCAGCTCACATTTTAGTTGTTAAGCAACAAATTGGTGTATTTATGGGGGAAAGAGGAATAAACATCATTTTATTAGGTTATCATTAAACTAGCAATTTATAATACGATTTTTATTATATATTAAAATAAAGAAAATATATAATAAAATATTTCATTTGTTTATTATTGGGAGGAGTGGAACCTCCCAAGTGGTACTCAGGGTGTCCGGGGGCTACTCCTGGCAACTTTTGGCTCACTGGGCCAGAAGTTCAATGTGAGACCTAGGCAGGCCCTAAGGAACCAGGGATTATCTGGACCTCCTTGCATGTACTTTGAGTCCTCCAGGACTTAGTCATCTGTCAGAAGAACTTGTGTTAGGTATCAATCTGGGGTCAGTACCAAGCAAGATAAGTGCCTTAACCCTTGCATTATCTCTCCAGCCCCTATAATCGGCGCGGGACGCGGACCCCCCAGACGCAGACGGCCCGGCCCCCAGCGGTCGTGCGGCCCGGTCGTGCGGCCCGGCTGGAGCGATAGCACAGCGGGTAGGGCGTCTGCCTTGCACGCAGCCAACATGGCCGACCCGAGTTCGATTCCTCCGCCCCTCTCAGAGAGCCCGGCAAGCTACCGAGAGTATTCGATATGCCAGACACAGTAACAACAAAGTCTCCAATGGAGACGTTACTGGGCCCGCTCGAGCAAATCGACGATCAACGGGAGGGCCTTTACCTTTACCTTTTACCCCTATAATACTTTATTTTTTTGTTTCCTTCT